CTCCAGCCCATAGTCCCTGTATCAGTGGAGAGATGAAGCGAGTAAGAGAAAATGTGATACTGATGTTTGTTTTTGGTGTTGTGGAACAAAAGAAGCACAGTTGAATTGATGTGGGTCTGACACTGCACAATGAATCTATTTGGGGTGCAGCTAATTAGGTAGGATATTTTATAGTGACAATTCCTTAAAAAATTAGGGCAGGATCTTTATCTATAGTACTCTTGTTAGATGCTCCGTCTTTTGTGGTGTTGTGGGAGAAATGTCTTTGACCTTAATTTCTTTAGCAGGTCTTGCCCTATTTCCCATTATTTGGGGGCTTCCGGGAAGGGAAGACCCTTGGTGTGGAATGATGGCTGTTTTTCTTCAAATAGCGCACTAGGGCTATCACTAGGCACATCCCTTCAATGAAGAGAAATTTTGACTACCACAAACAACACAGAGGTAAACATAAATGACAGTATTCTTAAACTGAGTTCAGCAAAAATGAAAGGAACTTGACATTGTATTTGAATGAGCCCTTCAGAAGTGACTCTTGTTATTCTTTTCCCCTTTTTGGTGTGAACTTATCCTATTTTATTTTTGGTGTGTGCCAGTCATAAATCTGTTCCTTTATGTTATACCTAATGGCAAAAGGCATTGCTCTCAAGACTGAAATCTGTTCCTTTAATATTGGCATGATGGAAACAAAAGATCTCTGCTTCATGCTCATGGTGCTGGAGATGCCGTTGGTGTTTAATAAATTCTTCCTGATTGGAACAATTAGCCATGAATTCTTTTAAAGTGCTCTTTCCAATTGGCTTGATAAATTAATGGCTAATACAGAATTCTGAGGACAGACAATATTCTTAAGTGGCTGAATTAGGGGGGAAAATGTGGACAGTAGTCTCAAGTTGGGTGGTAGTAGAATATTGTGAAATATCCAGTCCATAAAAACTGAGGCAAAGCCTCAGCTGCAATAATAGCCCCATAATAGATTCTTTTAAAGAGTAGCAAATTTCCACAAGCTACAGTCATGATTTGTTTGTATCAGGATTATTGGATCAGAAAAGGACTCATATAGATATCACTTGATAATCAGCTCTATTCAATATAAAATCCCCTGCAAAAGTTGATGTTCAAACATTCTGGTTGAGGATTCTACTTAGAAGAAAAAAATTGAATTTTAGGAAGTCATATAAAGAGATCATTGTTTTTAGTGTGGAATGATGTAGTGTTGATAATGCTGGATTTTATGCTTTGAGTTTGGAGCACTGCATCTGAAATTTTCAATACTATCACACGCAACCGTTTATTCAGCAAGTATTTAGTGAGTGCTTTGTGCTAGACCCTGTGTGTGTTCATGGGGAGACAACAATGAACTAGACGTGATCTGTGCCCTTCCGGTCTCACAGACTAGAGGAGCAGAGAGATGCAGTAAGGATGAGCCACCTGTGACTCACTGTGTGTCACAATGATCACAACGCTGCCTGGGTGTAAAGGCGGCAGCCATGATCGTGGGAGTGCGGTTGGGTGGGTGGAGGAAGAAGGGGGCCGCTGTGTGGTAGGGACACATTGTGATGGTCTTTGCTGGTTTGGGGATGGGTTTCACAATCATTAGAATCGCTCCAGTTGTGACTGTGGACACAGTCTGGGGTGCTCATGAGGACAAAATAGATGTGGAAACCTGGGGCCAAGTTTTAGCTATCGTGCAGTCTTTGCTCAAGTGAGAAAGGTTGTTGACTTGCCAGAAAGAAGAATCTTTTACACTTGTTAGACATTAAAATATTAGCACCCTGAGAGAGTTCCAGTGCCTTGGCAACCTTCAGTTTTGCCTCTGATGTAAACATGCTATGGTGGGCAAAAGCCTAGGACTCCAGGGCCGCCTGGGTGGCTCAGCTGGTTGAGCGTCCCACTGTTGATTTTGACTCAGGTCATGATCTCAGGGTTGTGGGATCGAGCTCTGTGTGGGGCTCCACACTCAGTGTGGAGTTGGCTTGTCCCTCTCCCTCTGCCCCTACCCACCTCTTGTGCACGCTCTTTCTCTCTCAAATAAATACATACATAAAATCTTAAAAAAAAAAAATCCTAAGACTCCATTCACAGATCAAATTGTTGGCACATTTGTCACTGTGGGGAAGACAGCACATTGGAAGGTGCTATATAGACAGAAAGGGTGAGTTTATGATCTTAAATAATCCCCAATAGGAAATGCCTTTCCCCCCATCTTTAGTTTTCTTTATGCCTTTGATGACCTTCCTACCTAACTTTTTGAGCCCTTGATACCTTCTCTCTTCCCCCTCATCTCCCTTCCCCTTAAGAGGTGGCCTGAACTAGAAATCTGCGTTTTTACTTATTTATCAAACAATTCAAATCTGCATGTTGAGCCAGGCACTCTTCTAAGCATTTTATAAAAATCAACTTAATCAACTCACATTTCTTTGGGGCTGCTGTCATTACCGCTCCCTTTTCACAGATAAGAAAAATGAGAAGTAGAGATCTTAAAAACTTCTTAAGAACACACAACCAGAGAGCAAGCTGAAGAGCTGGGATTTGAACCCAGAGATTCATGTTCCCAACCTCCACATGGGTGCTTAGTCCAGCCACAGTGCTAAAGCATGGATATATTCTTCCTTGGATATTCTGCCTTGGGCCCACCTGCTCAACCACTGGGTAGGCTCCGTCCTACTTAACCAAAGCCGGTTCACTTTGGCCCAGAGCATGCTGAGCTCTTTACAAAAAGATGCCTTCGAAATGCAAAGGTTGACAGCTTTATTTGCGGACCCACACTGTGGTTTTTGGCTGGAGTCTGCTGGGCACTGGCTATGTGGTAGTCAGTCTTTAAAAATGGTGTAATATTCACACTGTTTTTGTTGGATAATTGCATGCCTTTAATTTGTGGTATTATAAACAGAGCAGTAATCTGGTTTAGGAGTAGCCAGAAAAAGTTATTTGATATCCATTAAGTCAAGCTGCTATTTTTATTCACCTCTGTAGAGGTGAGTATTATGGTCCAGAAAAAGCAACATTATAATATATTCTAATGGGTGTCTCCTGACTGGCTAGGTTGGGAGAATAAAAAAGAACCTTCTGAAGAAGGTAGGGAACAATTCTGCTTGCTTCCCTAACAGGTGAGTACAATTTTCCCTTTAGATATTACGACAGTTCAGCTTTCTTTAGAAAATGAATTTTTAGAAGGGCGCCTGGGTGGCTCAGTTGTTAAGTGTCTGCCTTTGGCTCAGGTCATGATCTCAGGGTCCTGGAATCGAGCCCCACATGGGGCTCCCTGCTCCGCGGGAAGCCTGCTTCTCGCTCTCCCACTGCCCCTGCTTGTGTTCCCTCTCTCGCTCTGTCTCTCTCTGTCAAATAAATAAATAAAAAATCTTTAGGAAAAAAAATAAATAAAAGGGAAAAAAATCACACTTCTTGCAGTTCATGGATTTGGAACAGTGATTTTTCTTAAAGACCTACATAAACCATTACTGCCTAAAATTCTGAGAGTTCAAGAAAAATGAAAATATTAAGTCATGTAAAAATAATTTAGTAAATGTGAAGTCCCTATATAGTTAACCAGATTGTAAATAAGAATATTCATCATCAGTGGTTGCTTTTCATCAATGTCCTGTGACTTAGGTTGACTTATTATATATTTATAGACAAAGAATAGGTTATTTATTTTCTTAAGATTTTGTTTATTTGACAGAGAGAGACAGTGAGAGAGGAAACACAAGCAGGGGGAGTGAGAGAGGGAGAAGCAGGCTTCCCGTGGAGCAGGGAGCCCAATGCGGAGCTCGATCCCAGGACCCTGGGATCATGACCTGAGCCGAAGGCAGACACTTAACGACTGAGCCACCCAGATGCCCCAAGAATAGGTTATTTAGATAGCATCTTCTATTCGAAGACATTTCAGTGGTTTGCAGACTTGAGCTTGAGTTAACTGTTCAGTCTTTGGAGATGAATCATTCCTTTTGTTTAGCCCATTGGTACAGTATTTAGATTTACTTGTAGGTTTGTATTTAACCTGACAGAATCCAAAGAGCCAGATCAGACATGTGCTGGCAGTCTTTCCTGGGGTCCGGACAGAGCTACATGCAGGGAGGACAGCTCAAGTCATTAGTTTGTGATTAATGTTTGTAGAAAGTAATATTTCTACCATTTTATGGATGGAGCAACTGAGGCACTAAGAGGTTAAGTGGCTTGCCTTTGTTCACACAGCTGTTTAGGAGATCCGGGCAAATCAGGCACTAATGCAAGCGGGTCATGATTTTGCACTCAACTCTCACCAATTTTAAATTTTGCAAGTTATAGTTCCTGTACCTGCCCATGGGCAGGTTACAAACTGGAAGTTGAAACTCAACTAAACTGAGAGGATATTGCCAATCCTTTTCTAGGGGAAGGAAGAGACGGAGGGTTGCTTTGGCTAACAGAGCTGGCATGGGCACTATCATTCCCATGGACCCAGCCCTCTCGGACAGGCTGGCTCTCTGCTGATCCCCCAAGGCATCTGTCCATGAGGATTCAATCAGGCTCAGGGCTGCTGGCCGAGGTGGGGAGCAGGGGGGGCTGTAAATCTGGGAAAGCTGCAAGTATTCAGGGTCTTGAACTTTATCAGGTTTGAATGTGTGATTGTGAAAGTAAAGAGCAGAGAAATGACAGCACTCAGTAAATCAAACGCAGAGAAGATCAGGACTGTCAGAGACAAGAGAAAAACAGGCTCTGGGCACAAGCCCTGCTGAAAACCTGCAGGCAGGAGACGACTTTTATGTTCCCTCCAGACTGTGCCTTCTGAAAAACAAATCTCTTTCCCTGTCATTTTATCTAGAGAATGGTATTCTTTGTTTTGTCCCATGGATTTCTTTCTTTACGTTTTCATTATTGAAGTTGAGATCTTGTTTTAGAAGATGGGGTGCTACATGGAAAAAACAAATGAAACCCCAAAACCAACAACCCAGAAAGAAAATCAGTTGAAAAATGGCTGGAACAGCCTAGATTTTACTCTATCAATAATGTGTTCCATAGCTTCTAAGTGATCTTTATTTTTCTATTCCTTAACAAAATGGGACTAAAGTAGAGTAAGTCTCCTGCATATACAGTGATACCAAACTGAAAGGTACAAAGCATGGGAGGAGTATAGTCAGATGACCAGGTCCATTTAATTAGCCCCCACACACCCTTTTATCTAATGCCAGCCCACGGGTTGCCCTCCTTCATGGCCCCATCTGTTAACTCACTCCTATCTGTTGCCAGAAAGAAGTTCCCAGGGAGGGGTGCTGCTAGGACTGGGATACTTTTCTCAGGGGATGAGCCTCAAGATTACTATCTCTGTCCTGTAGAAGACATTTGGAGTCTGCTGCTGGCATTTGCAAGGGGGAATGATGGGGAATGTTTCTTCAAAGGAACCAAAAGCAAGTAAAGGATCTATGTTTGTCTCACCCCACCCCTTCCTATTATAATGCAATAAATAAAATCCTCACCGCTGGTATGTAGAGAAAGCCTGAGACCTTTAATCAATGGCAGGACTTAAAAGTTGAATGGGTGCTCAAAGAAGTTCTTTTCTGTAAATTAATTAGCTCCGGGGAACAGTTAGGTCACACAAGAAATTGAAATCTGGCGTAGTACATGTGAGTCTATTACAGTGTAGATACTGGTAATCTTTTAATCCCCTTGACAATCCTGTAAGGCAGGTACTTTTATCATCCCCTTGTTACAGATGAGAATACTGAGGCACAGAGTGATTAGGCAATTTGTCACACAGAAAATGGTGGAGTCAGGATTCAAACCCAGGCAATTCCCTCAGTCTGTGAGCCAGAGTGACTCCCTTTTTTACAAACTCACTGTGAAGCCTAGGGGACAATATGAGCCTGGGTACTTTTCCAGAGAAAGGATCAAGCATCTCCCTCCATCTTTGAAGCTGTCTGTGGTACTTTGCCTAACCGGCTCTACAGAAGTGCCAAACTTCTAGACTGTAAACACTTCAAAACTAGTTGCTAACCCTTATTTGTGCAGTTCTTCTTTGTGCAGTATATACGCAGTGCTGTTGGGTAAGTGCAGGAAACTGGAGGGCTGCATATGGGTAGACAACTCTTGGTCCTGATTCTCTGCATATTTGCAACATAACTGAGTGCAGAGGTCATAGTTCTGGCTGGCAAATGCAGTAATTTTTTGTTTTGGGGGCACTTCCCCCCCTTTAATTGACTTAAGAAGGAGCGTTACTTACTTAGCAAATCTCCAAAAGCTTATCACCTCCTTTTCTGCTTCCCCTTAGCAACACCCAACCCCCCTACCCCCCACCCCCAAGAAAAGAAAAACAGAAAGGTCTCTGAGCTGAGACAGCTCTGGGGCAGTGGCATCTGGACTCTGACCCTAGAATTGGCATTGTCTGCACACCTAGTGATACCGGCGAACTCCAGGGAAAGCCCGGGTCCTGTCTGTCTAGTGTGCTGGAAATTTCTGTATCTCTTTCCCCTGGGAGCAGAAATTTTCCTTCTGATGCTCTGAGTTTTCCTATCCCGGGAGGGTTGGGTGGGTGGGGGGGGAGGATTAGATAAGGTGAATGGTTTTGGAGTTCACCTTATTTGGAGTGGGGCAATGAGAAAAGAGAGGCAGATTTCACTTCCGGGGCCCAGCAAGAGGTGACAGAAACTGAAGATGTTGGTTGGCCTCTGGAATTCAGAGTCCTGTCTGCAGCTTCACCACAGCGCATAAGGGGTCGGCAAAGATACAGGAAGAATCCCTACTGCAGGGAAGCCAGCAGTCTCTGACACTCTGAGGTTCTTATCCACCCATACTGCAAAGAGGTAGAAAAGGCTTAGGTGTGTGTTTACAGTATGGGGGAATGCTACCTAAGGGGAAAAGAAATGACTCAGTGCAGAAACCCCCAAAACATAGCACCTGACTCCCAAGACCACTTCCCAGTCCTGGATCAGGAAAGTGGACATTCCCATTCACCTTTAGTGAAAGGGAAGGGATCCCCCCAGGGGCAGGGCCTCGGCCCAGCTGGCAGCCCTAGGCTTTGTGTAGTGATGCCAGTAGTAATTAATAATGATAATAAATACCACACTTTATAACCAAACCCAACCTGGGGATGCCTGAATGACTGAATGCCTCCCACCTGCACGCTCTTATTCTCGGAGTCCACACCCTCGCCGTTAGCCTCAGTCTAATTTAGCTGCCTTGTTCCACCCACCAGGTTCTGACCCGGGTTCAAAAGAAGGTCTGTTCCCGACGACTAGCGATGTGGAGTAACGAGGACCCTCGGCAAACCCGCAGGGAGTGAGGGTGGGAAGGTAGGGCTGGATTGACTCGAGTTTAATTATTCAGCATCAAAAAATAATATAAAAGGGATAGTAATTGAGGCCCTAATGAGCTCGGTTTAGTTTTTCTGCCAAGTGCGGGGGGTCGGTTTTGGGACTCCAGCCCCGTCCGGCCTGGAGTTCCACGGCTCCCAGGACCCCGGGGACCGGCACGCCCAGGCCGGGTCGCCTGGGGACCTCCACATTCCCAGGGCAACGGACGCAGGTCTCGCTCGGCCGGTGGGGATCTGGCCAGCGAAGCGGAGATCTCAGGGTGTCAGGACGCAACCAGGCCGCGGGGAGGGAGGCCGGCGCCGTGTGGAATGCCTTTATCGGGATCAGAGAGCCACCAGCTTCTCCTTCGCTTCTTTAAGCGATCACAGATAGACACCTTTGGATCTTTTGTCAGACATCTTGGCCCTTAATAGCTAAATTTATTTGGTTTAAAGCGGCCTTGGGAGAAGCCGGGAGGGAAGATCTTTCGTCGGTCATGGGTGGCCTAGATAACAAGCTTTAAAAGAGAGAGGGAAGAAGAAAGTAAAAAGGTTAATGGATGAGGGGAGGGCTAGAAGGCGCCCAGCGTGCGGCTTTTACAGCGACCCTCCTCCGGCCGCCCCCTTATCGCGGCCCTAACTTACCCGCGGCGTATGAAGTACATTAAGTCACGTAAACAGCGCGCGGGGAGGAATGCCACCGCGGTGACCTCTCGCGCGCCCCCGCAGCAAGCCCACCTCCGCGCCGCGCTGGCGGCCGCCGGCGGCGCGCGGGGGGCAGCCCGGGGCTGCGGGCCGGGGACGGCCGGGCCCGGCCTGCAGCCGCCGCGCGCCGGGACTCGATGCTGACCGCCCGGGCCCGCCGTTGGCGCAGCGAGTTCCTTACCCGAAGTGACCGGCGGCGGGAAGAGGGGGCGGGGAGCCGGGCCGGGGGCAGGAGCGGGGGGCGGCCCAGTTTTCTAGGCTGCGCAGTTTTCGCGCTTCCGCCGCCACCACCTGACATTGCTAACCAGTATTTTTGGGCTTTCGAGAATTAAAAAAATAGAACAAAACAACCCTCCCTCCCCCACCCCAAACACCGTCCGGGCTCTCTGGACGCGACTGCATTGGGTTGGCAGCCGGTGAGTCGGGGGACAGGCCGCCCCGACCCGCTTATTGGGCCGGGAGGATGGCTGGGGTGGGGGCACCGGGGTGACCCTTGTCCTTCGGCAAAAGCTTCCCAGGGACAGGAAGAAATCCGGTATAGGCGAGAAGGCCCTAGAGATCTGGCTTTGTAAAAACTCTCAATTTAAAACTTTAAGTCAGAAATTGTATTCTTTCTGAAACGTCGCTGGAGCAGCCGGGAGCTTTGGGAACTGACAACGTAAGGAGATTACGTTTGCAGGGGTAAAGGCGTGTCGTTATGCGGGTCCTCGCCCGGGTCTCGCAGCTCTCCTGGAAGCAGAGAGCGACTGGGTCCCCAAACATCCCTTCGCATTTGGCAACAAAGCCTCCGCCCCCTGCCCAATTGGCTGCTCTATTCTGGCTGGATTCGAATCGCGAATAGTAGTGTGGCGCGCCCCAAATAAATCAGCCCTGGGGACAGGTCGCGCCCCAGAGCCAGCACCTCTTTGAGGACGAGGAGGGCGGCTCAAGGACGAAGGCTCACTCCGGAGGGGCCACTCCTTTCGTCTAAATAGTCGGGAGAGAAATAATTTCGTTTAAGATTAGCACCCACCCCCCCAAAGGAGACAGGCAGAAGGAAAAGGAAAAAAAAAAAAAACGAAGAAAATAGAACTTTTAAGAGCCTATTTACTGGGGAACCATGGGGGACTTCTCCAGTTCTTGGGTTCCTCCCTAGTTTAGGGTACACTTCCCTCCGTGTCCCCTATTCTCCCCACCTTCCCGGACTAGCTGGGGTGCTCAAAGTAAACTCAGAGCGCGGGACCTGGGAACCCCTAGGGGGTGGCTTTGAAAATGTGCCGCTCCCCCCTGGGAGTGGAAGTTTTCCCTAGGGCCAAATCCAGTGCATTGGGAAAATGATAAACTGGATGGGTCAGGCTTCCTTGCCTTTCTGTCTGAAGAAACTCTGCGGGTTAAACAGTTTTGTTTTTAAGTTAACTGAAAAGAAAAACATTGTACTATCCATTCCCTCCTTTAGTTGGAAAACCAATCTAAAAAAATTGTGACCGTGCAAAGGAGCAAATTACAACCTCCCACTCTTGTTTTAGGCTGTGTTAAAGAGAGATTGGGAATCTGGATGGTAAAATGCCGGGTCCCTTCTCGAGCCCTTAAAAGCCGCACGCTGTGGTCAGTGTCTGCCCCGCTGCTCATCTCTTTTCCAGCGGTGCCAGGGCCAGCGCACCCTCTCGCAGCTGCTCTGGAGCTGCGGGAAAAGCAGGTCCCTAGGGCTTTAGCTATTGTCCAAGGAAATTCACACAGACACCTTCATACTTGCTAATATAAAGAAACACACACAACAGGAACCAGGTTCGGGGCTAGGTCTCCGCAAGGGCTCAAGGCTTGGAGGCCGTTCGCAGCTTGGAATCTAACTTAGCCAGAGAATTAAAAAAAAAACTCATCTCCATTGGAAATCACCTCACTGAGATATGAATTAAAAAAAAAAAACTGCTTTTAAGACTACAACTGAAAAAGCATTTCAAAAACAGTTGGACTCAAAAGAAAGGCAAACGTCCACAACGTTTCTGTATCTGCTTACAAATGAGCTTCTGAAAAACTCAAAATTTGGTCGGAACTCACGCAAAACCCAAAATAGAAAGGCTTTGGAAGCTGTGGTCAGAGTTAAGTGGGAGGCAGACGCCGGGTCATCTCTTCTGCTAGTACCGTTCGATCGAACCTAGGTTAAACTTTAAAGCCCTGAATCCTGCTCCGGTCGCCAATCTCTCTGTTCCAGAGTTTTCTACCTTCACTCCTCCCGAACTGTGGCCACATTGAAACTGGGAGCCACCACAGTGATTGGGGGAAGCAAAGAGGAATATAATAAAAATGACTAAATTGGATAAGAACGGTTTATGGACCGTCGTAGTAGCAATTTAAAATTCAGAAGCGTTTAGCAGCAATTTACAACGAAGAATGGAAAAAAAAAAAAAAAAGAATTCTCGCCAACTTCTTCGATTCAGTGCTCTTCCCCTCACTGCCAGGCCCTGTCCCCTTCTCCCCCTAGGATACACAGGCTCACATTCACAATTATATTGAGAGGAAACATACTTTTAACGATGAGGTCTCACAATCTCTCAACTCTGCTTAGGCTCCTCTCCCTTCCCCAACTGGAAAAACACACACACACAAAAGAGCCCAAATGCTTTCAGGGAGACTGACCTTTAGAAAATCATTTACTTCGATTTACCTGGGGGGGGGGGGATTGTAAAATCCATCCTCACAAAGCAACTCCTCCTGCCCTAGTTAAAATTCTCTCTCCGCGGCCTTCTGGGGTCACGTCTGTCGGAAGAAATCTTTTTGTGAGTGAAAGGGAGCGAGACATAGATCACCGCTGCTGCGGCGGACGAACCTGCGGCCGCGCGCCTCGCTGCTGACAGATCCGCGCTGATAACCTCGCGACGTTCATTTCCAGTCCCTTTGCCGGCTCAGGACCGTATCAGTTTGTACACAGTTGTGATAACCATTTGGAGGGAGCGAAGAAGGGGTGTGTATGTGAGGGTGGGGGTGGGGAAGCGGTATTTCCCGCTGGGTCCAGTGAAGGTGAACCCCCTCCCCCCTTTCCAACGACTTATCCGAGACTTACCTTAAGTTCTCCAGGATAAGCTCAGAGCAAACGGGACACCCAAAACTTGGAAAGCATCTCGGGGCGCAACTGGGGTGGAAACACTTTTCATTACGCGCACCTTCGGGGACTAGCCTTTACGTATACCACAACCCCGAATTAAAAGTTCCCAAAGGTTAGCTGGTGAGTGTCGACGTGAACTCCCCGAAACCTCCTAGGGATTTAGTCTGTTTCTAAAAAGCAGGGCAGAGATAGGGAGCTGGGCACCTGAGTTCCTTCTTTTCCGTATCTTTGGAGCCTCGATCCCCGACGGTCACCAGGACCCGAGCCCCAGGGTCTCGATTAGAGGTCGGGGAAAATTTAAGGTAGTTCACATACAAAGGCAGAGCCTAACGCTCTTCTAACGTGGATGAAGGAGCGGGGAAGGCCCGTGGAGCAAAGCACTTTCCCCCTCATTCTGGGGGCACGTTGACCCGATAGCTGGCGCGTCCTTCCCGCTGCGGTGGCTGCGCAGGGCTGTACACAGCCAACTCCTCTCGTGCCAGCCCCCCCCCCGCCCCCGTGAGTGCGTGTGTAACTGGGGGCGGAGGAAAGTGCTGCGCCGCCGGATGGGTGTGGGTCGTCAGCCAGGTCAAGCGTTCCTCCACCTCCGCCCCTCCTCGGGCGTCCCAGGGCTCGGCGCCCCCTCGGTGGACTGGCCCTCTCCCAGGAAGGTACTCGCAGCTCGGCCCACACCCGCAGGCTGCGCGGCGCTCATTGTCTGCTGGGGTGGCGCGCTCCCCTCCCCCCGCCGCCCGCGGTCCCCTCCCCACCCTCTTTCTCTCCTCCCCTCGCTCCCTCCTCCTCCTCCTCCTCCTCTTCACCTCCAGCGCCCAGCTGCTCGCACAGCGCAGTTCCGACCCACAGCCTGGCACCCTTCGGCGAGCGCTGTTTGTTTAGGGCTCGGTGAATCCAATCAGGAGCGCAGGCTGCAGTTTTCCGGCAGAGCAGTAAGAGGCGCCTCCTCTCTCCTTTTTATTCACCAGCAGCGCCGCGCAGACCCCGGACTCGCGCTCGCCTGCCGGCGCCCACAACCTCTCTCCGCGCTCGAGAGCAGTCTCCGCCGCGGCCGTTCTCCATGCGCAGCGCGCACCCGAGGTTCGGCTGCTTTCTCGCTTGCTCGGGCTCCCTTCTTTCCTTCCCTCAACCCCCCACCCCGTCGCGAGCCCCTCCGCCCCGGGCCATCCGGCCCTCTGAGGGCCCCGTCGGCTCTGAGGGTGTCTCCCTCCTCCTGTCGCGGCTGGCTGTAGCGGCTCCCAGGTTCCCGGGACACCGCGGACCAACTTCTGCTGTTTCTTCCTCTCCCTGAAGCGCTTATCTGCGCGCAGCCTTATCTCCGAATTATCTGGCGCAAAGGGGCGGGAGCCGGCAGTCAGGCGAGCAGAGAGACTTCTTTCTTGCTATCTAGCCCGGGTCTGTGTGTGGGTATTAATTTTAGTATGGTTATCTCCGAGGAGCCGAAGCGATTTGGAAAAGCAGCTCGGAGGAGGCCCGTCCGGCTGCATTTCGCCTTCCTACCCCACTCCTTCCGAATCTCCCCGTCTTTCTTCCTGCTCTCCCCTTTGGGGTGGCCTCGGCCCCAGGGCGGTCTCACGCCCCCCCCCCGCCCCCCGCATTTCCCCCTCCTCCTTTTCTCTGCGCTCCGCTCCACCCCGCTACGTCCGACTCCGGAACGGTCCGGCCTTTCCGCGGCTGCAGAAGATCTCGGGGTGGGCGGGGGTGGCCCAGCCGGCGTGAGCGCACGCGCTGGTGGCTGCAGCCACGAGCCTTGTCGAAGGTGTGCAGCGCCACGGGGAGGAGGGTTGGGCGTGAGACTGCGGCCCCGCGGGCACCCAGCAGTGCCCGGGCCCGGAAGGTCAGAGACTGGTCTCCGCCTCGGCGCCCCACCTTCCCTGGGCGCTGAGTTGCACTTCTCTGGAGCTCGCGTTCCGTCCGGTCAAGCGCAGTCCGGGAAGCTCTGGGAAAGCCAGTGTGGGAGAACGCGGCGGTTTCGTTTTCGGGGACAGGTTGCCTTCCTTAAGCTAATGATTTTCGCGCGGGCAGACCTCACACCGAGGCATTCCGGGCGGGGGCACCCGTAGGGAGGCGGGAGAAGGCAGCGCCGACAAGCACAGCTGCTTAAAAAAATTCTTTTGTGTGTCGGCCGAGAGGGAGCCACTTTGGGGGCGGAAGGAAAACCTTGGCCAGTCTCACCGTCACCCCTGGGACCTGGCGCGCGCAGATGGAGGATGCTGCGGAGGGGGTGGGCGGGAAGGCGAGGGGATCCGGGCGGTGCAGGCGAGGGAGGGCGGATATCCCGGTCCTGGGAGGACCCTGCGGCAGCTACCCAGGCTCCGTTCCCTTCTCCTTCCCCAACTCCCGCGCCTGGGGCAGAAATGGGATTTTAGAGGAATCCCATTAGCTAGAAAAGTGGGAGTGAGATTTTGTGCGACCTGCGCTTTTGTTAACCCTTCTTGATTTTCTCCTCCCGTCCCTGCCTCCCCTCACCCCGCCTCAGGAGCTAGAAGTTAGCTTGGAGAGGCGCCGGACCGTGGATGGCCTTGACTGACGGCGGCTGGTGCCTGCCGAAGCGCTTCGGGGCCGCGGCTGCGGACGCCAGCGACTCCGGAGCCTTTCCAGCGCGGGAGCCCTCCACGCCGCCTTCCCCCATCTCCTCCTCCTCCTCCTCCTGCTGCTCCCGGGGTGGGGAGCGTGGCCCCGGCGGCGCCAGCAACTGCAGGACGCCGCAGCTCGACACGGAGGCGGCGGCGGGACCCCCGGCCCGCTCGCTGCTGCTCACCCCGTACGCCTCGCATCCCTTTGGGGCTCCCCACGGACCTTCGGCGCCCGGGGTCGCTGGCCCCGGGAGCGCCCTGTCGAGCTGGGAGGACCTACTGCTCTTCACTGACCTCGACCAGGCCGCGACCGCCAGCAAGCTGCTGTGGTCCAGCCGCGGCGCCAAGCTGAGCCCCTTCGCACCCGAGCAGCCCGAGGAGATGTACCAGACCCTCGCCGCCCTCTCCAGCCAGGGGCCGGCCGCTTACGACGGCGCGCCCGGCGGTTTTGTGCACTCTGCAGCCGCCGCCGCCGCCGCCGCCGCCGCGGCCAGCTCCCCGGTTTACGTGCCCACCACCCGCGTGGGCTCCATGCTGCCGGGCCTGCCGTACCTGCAGGGGGCGGGCAGCGGGCCCGCCAACCACGCGGGCGGTGCAGGCGCGCACCCCGGCTGGCCTCAAGCCTCGGCCGACAGCCCCCCGTACGGCAGTGGAGGCGGTGCGGCCGGCGGCGGGGCCGCGGGGCCCGGGAGCGCCGGCTCGGCCGCTGCGCACGTCTCCGCGCGCTTCCCCTACTCGCCCAGCCCACCCATGGCCAACGGCGCGGCGCGGGACCCCGGGGGCTACGCCGCAGCTGGTGGCGGGGGAGCGGGCGGCGTGAGCGGCGGCGGAGGCGGCAGCCTGGCGGCCATGGGCGGCCGCGAGCACCAGTACAGCTCGCTGTCGGCCGCGCGGCCGCTGAACGGGACGTACCACCATCACCATCACCACCACCCGAACCCCTACTCCCCCTACGTGGGTGCACCGCTGACTCCCGGCTGGCCCGCAGGACCCTTTGAGACCCCAGTGCTGCACAGCCTGCAGAGCCGCGCCGGAGCCCCGCTCCCGGTGCCACGGGGCCCCAGCGCAGGTAAGGGGTGCGCCGCCGCGTGGGAGTGGGGGCCTGAGGCGCTGGGGTGTACGGGGGTGTGGAACAGCTAGTTGACTTGGGCCTTGTTCCTAGGGTTTTTGTGTCTGGGTGCCTAGAGGTCGGCCCGGCCCCAGGGAGGATTTGCAGAACTCTGGCAGGGCCACCCAGAGTCTGGCAGTGTTGATGAGGTGCTTTATTTTGCGGATTGTTTTCAGTTCCTTTCCAGGCTTAGGGCGCGTATAGGTCTCAGTGCCTTGGAAGAAGCTCAAGGGACGTGAACAGTGAATGGGGTGGGTAAATCGGAGCAAAAGGTCTTGGGAAGGACCTGTCACCGAGCCTAATTTGCCTAAGTGGAAGAATGAGACTCTGTTGGGGTAGGGGGGTAAGTTAGAATGCTGGGCACTTGATTCACCCTCTTCTCAAATACAGTCTCACCCAGTTCAGCTCTCCAGAGGGGAGGAATTGTGTTTTTCTCCTGGAGAGTAGTTAAGAGCTCCACGGTGGAAAGGGAGCTAAGGCGGGTATCTGGACTGGCCAGCCTCGTGCGGAGGGAAAGCTGGTGGAGGGGCCCTTTTGCTTGACATCAACTGGGCGGAGGTGTCTGGAGCTGAGCTGCTGCTGGTCCCTGCCAGGCTGGGACCCAGGGATCCTGGAGGTCCCCCATCAGTTCTTGCTCCAGAGTTCAACCCACCAGTTTTTTCAAGTTTTCCATGCCACCCATACTTTCCTTGCAGTATTTGGGGGCAATGTGGAGTGAACTGGGAAAACAGAATTGTCAAAATATCTGGAAACACCCCATTCTGAAAAATGTTTTCTGCTCAAGCAGAGGAGGTTATGAACTATTGTGTCTGGGGCTTCTTTTTTCGGCTGCTGCAGCATTCTTGGTCCTACGTGCTTTTGTGGGTCTCTCTTAATTTTGTATTTAACCCGTTTGATAATCTGACAGACTCCTAAGACAAAACCTTTTTTGGGGGGGGCGGGGGCTGTTTGTTTGAGGGGAGGTGTGAGAGTCAGAGGTGGCAAAGAGACATGGGTCAGCCTAAATTATCCTACCTGGTGTCTTCACACTCCAGGTCCAGGCTCTTCCCAGCCTCAGTGCTCCGTTTTGGGACAACAGATCTTTCAGGGGCCCTAACTAGTAGGATGAAGTGATGAATTGCCAGCCTTGTGTTCAAAAGACACACTGGAAATGCCAGTGGCCCGAAAGGGAAGGATCTGACTTGAACAGCCCTCCTGGTAACATTGGGAGGGGGACAACAGGCTTTTGGTAGCTCTACCTCCTAAGATTCTGGTCTCAGAATTCCCTCTTCTTCCCTCTGCGAAGTTGGCCCTGGAGACCATCTTCAGCATTGTGTACAGTGGGTGTGGAGGACCCTGTTGAGTAATTGAGAGCAGAGCACTGTCACCCCGTTGTGCAGCATGGGGACCCATAGCTGGTTCCCTGGCTGGAGCTGAGAGACTGAGAGATGAGGAATCGCCAAAGAATGGGAAGGGTTAGGGTGAGGCTTTTGTCAGTCAGGAATCCAGCAGGGAATCTGAAAGGGCCTGTGAGTTGAGTAGGGGGCAGCTCCCATTGGAGCGAGATCCTGCAGCTTCACCTGTTCCAGGACATACCTTAGTGTGGTCTCCAGATCCCTCTCCTCCAGTCTTCTGGCATTTCACAGGACTGAGAGAGTAGTCCCAAAAGACATCATCAGAGTCTTCCGATGTTTAAAGCAACTTGTTTTGTATAAAAAATCTTTCCAGAGGCAGGAGGGTGCCGTTGTATTTTAAACCTAGCAGTTTCATTTTAAACCTAGCTTATTCTTCACCAACTTTTCACCTTCTAGATGGGACATTGCAAAGTTAGGAAAATCATCTGTAGATCCAGAGTATGTTAAAAAAAAAAAACAAAATGGGAAGGGGCTTGGGAACACCCAGCTTTTGCATAAAGAGTCTTTTAAGAGGCGGGAAGCTACTGAGAATCAGCCGGTCTGGGGGTGGGGGAGGCGAAAGACCTAATTTTGGTTGTCCTCACAGGTGTTCTCGGGGTAGAGAAACCTTGACCTCCAACCCCTCTCCTCCCAGCTTCCTAGCTAGATTCCCTCCTTCTCCACTTTGATTGTTTAAAAAAAAAAACAGCAACCATTTTTGAAGGCACTCTTTAATTGCTTTGGGCAAACAGCAGGGCTAAAACCCGAGCACTGAGCTTTTTCAACGTACACAGTGTGGAGGCCTCTGGGAACCTGCTCCATACACCTCTCCGATTCTGGTGGTGGGTGGGTGGGAGGGAGTCCTGGGGTGAGTCTCCACAGTGCTTCAGTCCCTGAGCCCAGCGCCCTCCTAAGCTCCTGCTGAACTGTGTTCCATTCTTCGGGTCCTGGGACGGCATTTGCTGGCCATGCCCTTCTCCCAGAGCTTTTTATTTTCTACAGGGGACCCAAAGCAGTCGTGTTAGGAGGCGATGATGAGTAGGGGGAAACTGATGAACAAAGGTCCAGCACAATTAGGTTTCCTAATTGTAAGTTTTTCTTACGTTAGTCCGTTGTAGGATTGTAGCTGCTGGGTAAGTGGTAGGAGAAAATGAGAGCTGGAAATTTGATTTAATTAGACATAAGCAAACTTACTAAATTTTATTTATCCAAAGTGGTCTTTAAGTTTTGTCTTTGGGTTTTTAGATGACTAAAGAGATTTACCTGGAGAGTTCACACTGTCTTCTCTAGGGAGTCTTTATTGTTTCCCGCCTGGGGGAAGGAGGCCAGGCGTAGGGCTGTGTTCTCCAGGGAATGCCCCACTCCTCTATCGAGAGGGTCTCTGATAGGTAACATTTTAAAGTCAACAACTAAGACAAATACCTTGTTTAACTTCAGTGTCCTTGAAGTCCTGAGCATTTTACTGATTACCGTAGTCAATAGTGGCTTTTAGGGTGGAGAAGAATAAATCTTTGTGATGTGTTGTAAGTTGCGGTATCCCTGTGACAACTTTGAACTCCAGTTATGTAGGATGCTAGTTTCCTTTAAACTTAATTCTTGAGGAGGAAGGAGAGGAAGGAGACCTGTTTTGTAGGGTAAATAGTATTAATGGAATTAAAGAGTATTCACGCCAAAGACACATTTAAATATCTTTACAACAAGTAGCTGATGGTAGAAACAAGCTGTAAAGTGCCCGGGAATGAGAAAGAATAGAAAGGTTTGCTAGCACACATCTTCAAATAAAGCTTTAAAATGTAATGTTTATTTACTTCAAAAATTCAGAAATGCTTCTTAAAGCAAGCCAAATTTGGACATTTAAATCCTCTGTAAATAACCCTAAACAGAAAGAGATTTTTAATTTTTACGAAGTCTATTTTAAAAGTACTCAATTAGTACCTATCTCATTTTAGACAGTATTTATTCATTCATATTTAACAAATTTAAGCGGAAGTAATAAATGTTACAACCATTTACTCGAGATTTTTTCCTTATTAACAGATTTAGGCTAGTTGTAAACACCAAAAACTAACCAAATAGCAAAGTGACACAAACACAATGGTAGATTGCATAAATTGAAGTTTAGGGTATGAAAATATGAAACAGTTTTATTGCGCACCGAGACGGTTTTAGTAATGTTCTGAGTCAATAAAATATCAACTGTTCGTAGAAATTTTGCAGATAGAAGCAGTTAGACCCATGTGGAACTCAAAATATTTTAGCGTTTGGTCCTTGTAGCATGAAAAGAAAACTTAATATTTATCTCTGTGCTTGTTAATGTTGGTGCTTTTTTTCCCCTGGGGAGACCTGAGTCACTTTCTAGCACTTGCCCAAGAACAGTATTCCTAATTTCACTTGTCCATTTTTTTTTTTTAATTGCAGAAAAGGGTGACAGATACGGTAAATTCTTTAAAAAATAATGTGTCCCAGGATATCTGCAGGTTTGGTGCAGGGGTCAGTGATCAGTGTTGATATTGTAGGGTTTGCTCGGCTTGGCAAGTGGCACACTGTAATTATGATGGATTTCAGTTTTGAAACGCTTGGGAACAGCCGGAAAGGAGGGGTCAGGGGACCCAAACCGACTTCCCCACAGCTCATCTCAGCTCCGAGGTCCTTGGAGACTGAAGGCAGATGATTCGGGCTCGGCCTCCAGCACCATCTCCTGCTGCTTTCCTGGGGTTTTACTGGGCGCGCCCGGGGCTGCAGAAGTATTGGACAAACGCTCAGCAGATCGATAGCGACAACGGGCGGCTCCTGGCTTGGCTGCTGAGCAGCAGAAAGATCGTGGGGAAGGGCGCGGGCGGGGAGGCGGGCAGCACGTCGCCAGCACTGGGGCCAGGGGTGCCGGAGGTCTTCCCGGGAGCCCGGGGAGGGGCGGGAGCGGCGCCGCCTCACCGGGCCTCTTGTCCCCGCTCTCGCCGCAGACCTGCTGGAGGACCTGCCCGAGAGCCGTGAGTGCGTGAACTGCGGCTCCATCCAGACGCCGCTCTGGCGGCGGGACGGCACCGGCCACTACTTGTGCAACGCCTGCGGCCTCTACAGCAAGATGAACGGCCTCAGCCGGCCCCTCATCAAGCCGCAGAAGCGCGTGGTGAGTGCGAGCGCCGCCCTCCCCTGCGGCCGGGCCCCGAGCGGCGCTTCTGCTGTGGCCCCGGCGCTGCCGGCTCGCCCCGGGCGCCCCCGCGGCAACAGGTGCGGCGCGGCCCGGGGCCGCCGGGGTCTGCCCGAGAGCGGGGACCCAGCTGTCCCCTTCACACCCGCGAGCGCCCGAGTGGCGGTTGTCCCGAAGAAACCAGCCTTTGGGGAACGAAGACAGCCTTTCCCCACCTTTACGCCCAGGGCATGATGTCTATAAATGGGGGAGGAAGAAGGTGTAGGGAGCTATACCATTTTTTAAATATACAAAAGTCTGTGTTGACCTATCTCTAGACGTACTTGTAAATGCACTAGAAAAATTCTGGAAGGACACAAGAAATTAGTAATGACGGTAACCTCCGGCTAAAAAAACTGGGTATACCCACCCAGATCACATGAAGGAGGGAGATCTTTTTCACTTCACTATGTACTGTTTGCTCTGGTTTGGATTTTATTCTTGAAAAACCTCCCTCCCTTCCCTATAAAATATGACAGTCACAAACCCACACTCCCTTTCTCCCCACAGCCTCATTCAGGGTTCCTTTGATTCTGTTCCTTATGCCTTTGGGTCCCTTCTACCTCTTCTCCTGGGAGTGAGACAGATTTTAGCCCCAAATTCCATCCGTCTTTTGGATTGTCTTTGAGTTTGATGAAAATTTACTCTACCCTTTGTTATTTTGAAAATCTAGCTGTTCAGAACACTACATAGAACTTGAGGGGGGAAAAAAAAGCAGTCTTATGTGCTTCTCAGGTTGGGATCCAAACGCCTTTTTTACTGTGTTTTAAATTATGGGAATTCTCATTTTCTTCAGGAATAAATCTTAGAGTTAGGTGTGGTTTTAGGAGGGGGCATTTAACTGCTGTAGTGATTAGAGAAAATAAATGAAAGTGTTCACAGGCCCCACTGTAGGGTTAACATTTGTTTAACCAAGCACTCGTACTCTTAATTTAACCTTTTAAAGTAAAATATTTTACAGTGAGATGCCAGACATCTTAAGTATCCAAGTAATCTATTTAATTGTTATACTCTTAATTAGCAGGAACAAATGCTACACATGTTGTTTGTGTTAAATAGATTAGGGTGATATTGCATCACAATGGAAGTCTGACACCTTAAAGAGAAGCAATTAGTTTTATGGTTGTTTTGTTTTTAATGCATTTAAAATAAAGTGGCTGAGGCTAATTTAATGTATGTGCCTTAAACTTGTTACAACTTCCAGCTTAAAATTGTCTTTAAAGGGCATCCCCTTCACTTGAGTATATGGCTCCCTATGGTTTTCATTTCTTACGTATCATATTAAGAAAAGAAAAAATAGTGGCCAGAAAATATTCCGAGAAGTTTGTTGTTTTCATGTCTGAACAGTGAAACTTTTTTTTTTTTTTTTGAAAGGTACCTTGAGCTGAGTTCTAGCTGAGTTCAGCACGGTAACCTTTTCTTGAGATTGAGGGGAAAACTGGTAGAAGAGTAGCTGATTAGGTTCTAGTTGCATTCTGAATTTGATCTAGAAACATCCATATTTAGATAGTGCCATTTGTTTTGTGCACTTACCAGAAAAGAGTTTTTAACATCTCTTAATCTGTTGGTTTTCCTTGTGTGTGGCAGGTGTCTTGGCCGTGACCAACCAAGGTCAGCCATTGTGCTTTGTAAATGGGTTATAAATGATACCAATTGAAGGGCGTGTTCATCAATTAGTTCTTGTGGGCTTCTTATTTATGGTTTTGATGGATCTAGCTTAGTTCTCAGAATGCTGAACCCAAGTTTGTTTAGCCAGCAGTCCAGAACCAATCACTGTGAATTTGAACTTGTAATACATTGCAAAATAAGAGATTTATGGTGTAGCTTGAATTCTTGTCAGTGATGAATATAACTGAGATCACTTGTTACAAGGAACTTTTATAACCCACTCACCTTCATTTCTCATGTTTATGGAGACTGGCTTCACTTATGATTTGCAGTTGACAGTCATAAAGTTCTTTGTTATAATGGCAAATTCTGATAACAAGGTTACTTCACGTTGGCTTCAAATTCCACTGGAAACTGTCATAAATGACCTGTTTATAAAATGAACCTTCTTGTCCCCTAGTTAACTGATTTTACATTTATGAAGAGAAAGGGGTGCTCTCCTAGGAAATTATTTTTTCCATAAAAGGAAAAAGAAAGAAACAAATCCCGATGTGTAAGGTTTTACATGTTTTTATCATTTTAACAAAAACAATCCCGCAAATGGTTTGCCTGTCAGCCAAGCATGTTCATTTCAGCCAAAAGTGAAATCGATTTTTTCTTAGCATTGACTTAAAAATGTTGTAGTGCTAAGAGGTTTACCACTGTCTTTGTTTTTACGATTTGTCTGTAAAGCATAGTGCTACAGTAATAGAATAGGATGTGAATTGTAAATGCAAAATTCAATTTTATCTTTTAAATATGGCAGCAAAGGGTTTGATAAATCTGTCCTTTAACCTGTGAACAGTCAGTACACCCTCAATTCCTATTTTTGTTTTACATTCTTTAAAACTGTTCTTTTCTGAAATTAATCGGTGTAACTAACTTCCCAAATTCTTCCAATATTCAGTACACCCTCAATTCCTATTTTTGTTTTACATTCTTTAAAACTATTCTTTTCTGAAATTAATCAGTGTAACTAACTTCCCAAATTCTGTTGAAAAATCTTCCAATTTATTTTGGTCCTTGGATTTTCTCTCACAGCTTTTTTACTGAAGTCATGGTGCTGTTTTTTAGTTGCCTATCTAGGTAATTAGAAAAAACAAATTTAGATTTTGGCATTTGGGGGAGGAACTTAACAGTACTAGCTTAAACTCTCCTTTATAACGCACACATAATAGTTCAGATGAGAGAAATTCCTTCTGAGGATGTGATGGGCATAAAAGGAACATGGAAATCGGAATGACAGTGCCTTTTCTGATACCATTTAATCCTTTGTATGAACAAAAGTTGGGTACTGGACTAACAGGGTAAAGAAAATATATCCTTATCACCGTCTGTAAGACAATGCCAGCGTTAAAACAGTGCCATAAAATTTGCTTATCCTTTGTAAAATGAATAATGCAAAAACTCAGGCGGCAGGGAACCACGATAATTGAGATGTATCAGAATATATTTCTTTATAAAAATTTTGTATATTTTACAAGATCCGTTTCTATCATCTATCTATCTATCTATCTATCTATCTATCTATCTATCTATCTATCTACCTTTCTACAGTTTTTGGATTATTTCTCTGCACATACCTGATTATCTCTGGCTTCCAGGTGAAGTAGAGACTGCCCAAAGCCACTTAGGACACCACTGGGGCCGGAGGGGGGGTGGTTGTGATTGAGTTTCTTGACTCTTACATCTCCTCTGACAACAGTGAGCACAGTTATTGGCCAACGTTGTGACTCAGTCCCGGTTATTCTATAATCTGCATGAATATGCTGGAGCAACCCAAACATACATGTGGGATGGAGCACCCTATGTGAAACTTCAGTGTCTTGGTTCAGGAAGGTCAATCTAATTATAGTTTACATTTTTTTCTCAGGGGACCTTTCATTTGTTTTTAATAAAAGGTCCATGCTTGTTGACCTCAAGGAAAGGATACATTGATGTATGTAGCAGATACATAGTCACTTATATCTGTACACTTAACTTTTCTTGTGCTACTTTTTAGCCTTCCTCCCGGCGGCTTGGATTGTCCTGTGCCAACTGTCACACCACAACCACCACTTTGTGGCGCAGAAATGCCGAGGGTGAACCTGTGTGCAATGCTTGTGGACTCTACATGAAACTCCATGGGGTGCGCCACCTGTTTTGCTCATGTGTATAAGTGTTTAGTCTCTCATTTGTACATGGTGTCGGTTAAAAAAAATCAGCCAGGGAGAGGGGATGAAAGTGAAGAATCTGATGTTTTATATGCACGTTATTTAATTGAGGATGTTATTATAAGATAAATGATTACCTTACATACCAGTAAGAAACAAAAAATGCTGCCAATTAAACTGTCATACACATCCATGCTAAGAATTTTAGAAATACTAAATTCTAGTAATTTTAGAAATACTAAAAGGTGAAAAATGTGCATTTTAGAATCTAATGTAGTAGTAACCTAGTAACCTTTAAAAAAAAACAAAACAAAAAAACCTGTATATTCAAAGGAAAAAAAAAGCATGGAACCAACTAGAAATGCACACAACTAGTTTATATCTTAACTTTAAAATTTTTTAATGCAATCAAGTCCATTTATGCAAAGGAGCAATAATATATTTGGTAGTTGTAGTTAGCAACATTCTGTCCTTCATTTGAAGGATAGCATGAAATACTAGAAGCACATCAGTCTTAAAAAGGAAAGTAACCTTGTATGTGTAGGAGGAAGAGAATACACAATCTCTTTGAAATAAAAATATGTACCCAGTGGTTTTACTCTATAATTGAAGTTGTTTAAAACAAACAGTAAGTTGAAGGAATAAACTTTCCCTGGCAAGTCATCTCATTTTCTCTGAAGGAATCTGCATTTGATGGGGAAAGTGTAGTCTTTGTATAGGTTGGGATCTATTGAGCATGTATAAAAATTGGACTGAAATTTATGCCAACTTGAGGGCTTTCAGTACTTGATGTTCTTTGGTTGAAGTTGGGTTTTTCTTCAATATAATATTTATTTATTAAACTTAAGGCCTATATGAAAATTTTTCTAGGTGCCTCGACCGCTTGCTATGAAAAAAGAGGGAATTCAAACCAGGAAAAGAAAACCTAAGAACATAAATAAGTCAAAGGCTTGCTCTGGTAAATACAACAGAATGCTATTTGATTGTAAAGTATTGGCCAACTGTAAGAGTAGAGTATGTGTATATTTATGAGGTTAATTTTGACTGTTGCAGGTAGTAGCAATAATTCTGTTCCTATGACTCCAACTTCCACCTCTTCTAACTCAGATGATTGCAGCAAAAATACTTCCCCTACAACACAACCGACAGCCTCAGGGGTAAGTGTTAAAAGCAGCGTAGACTCTTTCTAAGCTAGGAGGTTGCTCTTTAGTATATTATCTCAAATTTTATCTTATCTGGTAGTACAATAATCTAAACCAACAGTTCAGTTTAGTTAGCTGATACCTAAGAATAGTTTTCAGAGGAGATTACATTTGAATGTCAACAAAATGACAAACTTAAGTACTTTACAAACTCTTAATTAAGATCTGTATCATTTTTTTATGGTTAAATTAACCCAAGTAAAAGCAAGAAGTTTTGGTTTGAAGTGCTTGAAGTAGTTTTATTTCCAGGTTTCTGTCTGAGCTGCTATATATATGTATTTCTGATATAGATCAGAACTATGAACTCAGGTTTTATATATCTCCGTGACCGTGGCCTTTAAATTGCTTTTGCTTATCATAGCGACTCCATCTTTTTTCCCTTCTCCTTCTCTTCCTTCCTTCCTTTTAAAAAATCATTTAAAAAAGCAAAGCTCATCATAATGTGTTCTGTGCTGCTGTATTCACTGATCTTCCTTTACCCGCTGGCCTCTTGCTGGGGGCCCTTGCCTTCTAACGTACCTTCATGGTACCCCGGCTTATTTCAGCCTTGCCACAAGCCTGGGAGCAGTTCGGTTTGTGAGATTTGTGAGTAATTCATGCCCCTAAGGATAGGGATGCCAGGGCTTTGTAAGGATCCCAGTTAGTTTCTGTTAAAAGTGTGATTCCTACCCTAAATTTGTTCTCCAAATTTACCTGGAATGCTCTTGAAGAACAGCTGGGCCTTATCCTAGACCCCCATGGGATCTGGGGCGAGATCTGGGCCACAGGACTTTACAGCAGGCCCTGGTGATTTTTTTAGGATTATGCGGAGACTAGTTTAAGGCAAAACACCAGCATTAAAACCCCTATTTACTTAGTAGTTGTTTTTTTACATTTAGCTTTGCTCTGTTTGGGGTACTTTGAAATGCTACGGATTCCTGGGCCCCACCCTGGATTTTTTGAGTCAGAGTCTCTGGGGGCGGGGCTTGGAGAGTTGTGTTTTTGAACTAGCGCTCCAGGTGAAATTGAAGCTTGTTGCCCTTGAGGTGTCTTCAAACCAGGGTTTGGGAACCACAGAGCTGGTTTCTTCATCATATTTCAAATGGCTTAAACGAGCAAAAATGAAACTTTAAAAAAATTAAATGTGATATTTCTGTTGGTCCTCCATCCCAAATTCTTTTGGGCTTTTTCTTTTGCTTTAATGACACAAGAAGTATGTTCAGAGTTTCACAAGGCAAAAAGCCTTTCCGTTGTTTCGTTTGTTGACAGATGTTAAAGAACGTTTCTAAACTTTATAAAAGGTGGACTCTGGTGTAAGATGATGTTGTTCTTTGTTTTTTTTTTTTTTTTTTTGTACAGAAGGCTTGGTGTAATTTTAAGGGACTCGAGTGGTAACTAGAACAGTTACTTGTGTGGAAATGGAAAGATAAAGATTATTTAAAATATTCTTTATTATGCCCTAAGTCCTCAGCAGCACTTCGGTAGCAGCTAAGTGAGGCAGAACAAGGTCCTGGTTTTTGAAAGCACTGGAAGCAGCCAGGTTTTTGGCTTGGGTGTCGGTCTTTTCTAGTTGAAATGGAAATTGCTGCCAGCTTCGGGTCACTTTTGTTTGTTAAGGCCAGCTGAAGCCTGGAAAAAGCCACATTTGAAAGATAAATGGCGCAGAAATACAGATATTTCCCCAACCATGGACTTTGGGGACTTGGCGTTCGGTTTTGCTTTCATGGTTTTGTGATGTAAAATTTCAAAATGGGGCATTTGCGAGTCTGATCGGTCGTCCTCCGAGGGAGGAACAGTGGAAGGTCAGTGACGGGGTCTGGCTCTGGCGCTGGCCTGCCAGGAAGAGGGACCTCGGGAGCTGTGCCGGCCGGCCTCTGGCTGCTCGGCTGGGCATCTCTCACCTGAGACCCAGCATGCGGGAGACCACCAGTCGGCCCTTGCCCTTCGGTGGAACGCGCCGTTCCCTGCTAGGGGCCAGGCGGCAGAGCAGTAAGGATTTGGGAGGTTGGTGGAGTTGGAGAGCAGCTCCATGCGAGGTCTTGTGCTGTGAGTCCCCAGCACTCCGTAGCCCAGGCAGCCTCCACAGGAGCCGGCTGTGTGAGCTGCTGACCAGACGGGGGTGGGTGTCTGTGTGTGTGTGTGTGTGCGTGTGCGTGTGCGTGTGTGTGAGCTTGCAGAGCCCAAGCGGCCTCAAAGGCTTCCCAACACCTTCCCAGGGCAGGGGGCGCGGATTGCCCGCCCTCCTCCTCTCCCTACAGGGACCCACTCCCCCAGGGTTCTCTCACCGGGTTAGTGCATCACAGATGTCTCCAGCAGCCCCGACTTGACGTGGCTGTTGTGGGGGACCAGGCGCACATGACAGAAGCCAGTCTGCTGGCTGCCTTTGGAAACTGTCCCCGTCCAGGAATACTTGTTGTCTACCCAAGCGGTGTCCCCAGGTGACTACCGAGGAGTTCCAGCATGTGCGCCCCCTGGTCCCTGAGTACCTTCAGAGCCTCTGTGGGTGGGTTGAGGCTTGGCGTGTGCGGCCGGCGGCCGAGGGGCCGTGAGGGGGCCCTGGCTGGGGGAGCTGTCTGTGAGGCACTGGCGGGAGCATTTGTGAAAAGTGGCTGTGCTGACAAGGTGTGTCATTTTCCCATTTGGTCACAGTTTCTATGATGTTGGAAGGCAGCAGGTGTGGTGACTGGATGACTGCAGGATTTGGGGAAATGCTGTAGGTGAGGAAAATGTTCCATGGGCATCGCAGGGTTGTGCCTGGTGCGCAGCACAGAGCCAGCATCCTGGTTGGCTCAGCGCTAAGTCTCCTTTGATGATGGGTCCGTCCCATTGATCTCCAGTGGCGCCTGTGGCTGACGTGGTGGAAAGTAGTAGTTCAGCGTTACTTCACTTGCATAGGGTCATCCGAGCTACAAAACAGGGTGATCTCAGGCACACTCCCAGTGGAAGACAGGAACTGGGGGCCACGTGATGTAAGTGGCAATAGCTGCTTTGCCATCTTAATGACGATCGTAACAGCAAGGAAGTCAGATTGTTGGAGCGGTCCACAGCAAACCTGCTGTCCTTTTAAGTCCCCCCTGAGAAAGCAGTGTAGGAGATGATCAGTAGGCATTCCCAGCCCGCTCCTTTAAAATCCTGACGTTCTGCCCTCTCCTGCATGCATATGGGGGCACCAGGTTCCTGAGCTAGCCTGGCAGGAGCTGAGTATTGTAGAGGGAGGGTAGTCATCTGCTGCTGTGAGCAAAGGCTTGACAAGTGTCTCGGGGCCACAGAAACCATTTTTTGTGGTGCTCTGAGGCCTCATGTCTTCCCTTGTTATAAAGCTACAGTGTCTTAGCTTTCTGTACTTGTTGCTAATTTTTGTTCAACTCAGACTCAGTTTCTTGTTGTTGTAGGTTTTCTGTGTGGTGTGTGTGTGTCAGGGACGGAGGGCAGTGTTCCGGAAGGCTGACTGCCATGCAGCCTCATATTGAAATAGCCCCTGTCTTGTTCCTTTCAAATTTCTTGTGTTTAAGAAATGTGTTAAACTTAAATTTTTTTGATAGACAGTTGATCAATTTTTGTGCCTTTTGAACTTAAAAGATTTTCCAAGAAAAGTCTTCTATGCTGAAATTTTCTTACACATACAGGTTTACTGAAAAATACGTATTTGGTTGACTTAAAATAGATAACATTTTCTTTGGCATTTATATTCTCTGGTGGATTGTAAGAATACTTAAATCTTTCATTGAACTCCATGTATTGACTAAATTACATTTTACTGGTTTGTTTTTGTTATTTAGGAGGGAAATAGGGAACATGTTCTATTTTAGCAATTCCCAAATAAGATTATTTATTTGCCAAATAAGATTTAATAAATCTAGAAATATTCTTATCCCTCCTGTGATTTGTAACTAAAGATTAGTAACACTGGAGAATTCTTTACATATATGTAAAATGTGTGTGTAATAGATGTATGTAGTGTATAATATGTATATATCCTATATAAGCTTATATATGCGTTTCATAGCTCAGTTCCCAAATTTTATAAATGAAAGGGTATTTCCTTTGTGACAGGAAGGATTAATTTGGGGATGAAATTAGCAGTAAGACTTAATGTCTGAGAATAAGAAATCACTGAACATATTTGCCTGCCTAATAACTCTTCTAAAAAATTAAAAGCTACTTAAGTTTGTATTAAAACTGCAACTATAATGTTGAAGTCATCATTAAACATATAACGTTGGAATAAATGGAGAACCTTGCTTTTTGGTCATTGTTCGATTTAAAAAGTACGGTGCTTCGGGAGGCCCTATTTACAATTGAGTAAAACAAGGTACCTGACCTCAAATTGTTGATAATGTGGTGGTAGGGGTGGGGAGCACGTGTAGACGACAGAGCTCACTGCTGGTCAGATGTGGAAGTGCCTTAAATGAGGGACACCTTGGGGTAGGAGTCGAAAGGAGGGAGCGGTTAATTCGGACCTCAGAGTTGGAAATGGCTTCACAGAGTGCGTTTGAACTAGTGGAGTAGGATTTTTGCAGGGCAAAGGAAACACTGGGCTGGAGCTCTCCAGGAAGAAGAGCATGGGCATCTATGGTACTTAACGTTAGTGTCCAGTGTTGCTGGAGCATAGGGTGTGGAGCCAAAGCAGGAGTTGAGACGGGTGTAGTGAGTGGAAGGTACACCTTTGAAACTGGCTCACATCAATATAAAGGCAGCCTTAAGTGGGGCCCAAAGTACCTTCATTTCTAAATAATGGACCTTCTCTAATCCCCATCTGTGGTGACAAATGTATTTCTTTTTCTATGCTAGAGTCCCACAAAGCATTCTCCACAGAGTGTTTTGATAACTGATGTAAACAAATGGTAGCATGCTCCATTTTACCAGCATTTTACCAGCAGGGTTTCCCCTCATACTTAGTAAGGAAAGGACTCCCCCTTGGAGCTGGTGGCATGCACTGGCATCGTGGCGTATGATGTAGGCCTGGGCTTTTGTTC